CTAAACAATCAAATTAAAGTCCATATCAAAAATTTCACTAGAATAGGTTGTTTTGATGCCCAAATATCTTCAAATTAATCATCTCTACATCAAGATGCATGGACATGAGAAAAAAATAGATTTAAAGTTTTGGAAATAATGCATCTTGTAATGTATTTTTGGACCGTCAATTTTTAAGATTTTCAAGTTTTTCATAGATCTGCTCGATCTATACTATTTTTGAAACTCTATATTTTATAATTAAAGATATATTTTAAAGCTATCACAAAAATTTTCAGTATTGAAACCATATTTTTCAACATTATTTGAAGGTGTTCTTTACTTTGGTTGTTTAGAGCCTCGGCCCTATACAAACCGTTCCCTTAAAAAAAATACCGAAAAAGAGAGTCTAATCTTGGTAGCACGTGCGGAATCCCATTGAAAGTGGCTTAGCTTGCATGACAGATTTCCAAAGAATAAGAAAGTACGTATAACGCAGTTGTGGTCTCCTATATGACTAAAGTGCCCCTTCCACATAGTTTTGGTCACCAACATGACTAAAATGCCCTCGCTTTAGTGCCATTTCCCTTAGACTAATAGCACAAATTTGGCTAAAACACCCTATATTGGGAAGTGGACGGCTAAATTTTGAGTAATTTACGTATGGATCTTAATTTTTTTTTTTTAAATATGAAATACTCCATTTTATTGGTGAAAATTACAAAAACGTTGATCAACCTATTTTATTTTTTAGTTTTGCAAAATTGTCCTTTGGTTGAAGACATCCTCGGATCGAATTTTAAATATTTTTTTTTTTTGTTTTTCATTAATAGGGGCCTACCTAAAGCTTAGGGGACTACCCTATTAACAAAAAGAATTAAAATTCGGACTGAGGATTCCATACTCAAAATGAATGGTAATTTTGAAAAAAAATAAAATAAATTGATCGACCTTCTTTATAATTTTTACCTAGATACATTTCTTATTTAAAAAATATTTTAGGATCTGTATGTAAATTACTCCCAAATTTTCTTTCAACTCAATGAAAGAACATGAAAGAACACATTTTACTTATGAACAATGACTATGATGCCCCTATACACAATGCCAATAACGCCCTAGAACGAAGTAGGAAGCTTCTCCACCGGAAAGAGTATTATTGTGGAGCTTAGGTGACAACCACCGGTTTTGAGAAAATGACCTCCTATCTTTTTATTTGAGAAAAACAAACATAGCATCTCTCTCTCGTTAGTCAAATGGCCAAAACATGTAAACTAAGGTTTAAAAATAGGGTGTGGTTTCCATAAGGTTGCAACCTTAAACAATCCATTTAAGGAGCACCTCCAACTTTTATCACGCATATAATTTTGATGTAAAAATATTTTTAATATTATCTCAAAATCTATTTCCATATCTAATTATAAAATTTTAAACTCCAAAAATAATTAAAATCAAGTAGATCTATAAACATATGAAAATCTAAAAAATTGACGGTCTAGGTAATGTGTTGTAAGATGCATCATTTCTGGTACTCAAAATCCTTTCTTTTGTCATAGTCATACATCTCGACATCGAGATGATCAATTAGAGGGTTTTTCAATATCAAAACAACCTTTTTCAATGGATTTTTGAGGTGCATCCGTAGTTCTACATTTTAAGGTTGCAACCTTATATAAACTTTTCCCTTAAAAATAAGGTGCAGTTTGTATAGAGCCTAGGCTCTAAACAATCAAATTGGAGCCTACCTTCTAATTGTGTCGAGAAATGTGATTTTAATATTGGAAATATTTGTAATAGCCTTAAATATATTTTCATCTCTATTTATAAAGTTTAAAGCTTAAAAAGTGTTGTAGATTGACAGATCTATGTAAACTTGAAAATCTTTAAAATTGACGGTCCAAAAATACGTAACAACATATGCTATTTTCAAACCTTGAAATCCATTTTTTTTCATATCCATGCATTTTGATGTCGAGATGATCAATTTGAGGATATTTGAGCATCAGAACAACCTCTTTTAGTGATATTTTTGAGGTAGGCTCTAGTTTAATTGTTTAGAGCCTCGGCTCTATATAAACTTTTCCCTTAAAAGTATGGTATAGTGACCCAAAAAAATTGCAAGTCCCTGAAACCGGTATGGCGATCAGTATGTTGAACAGGCAATCTAGTTGAGATAAATAAGCAAAAAACATAGAAATAATAAAAAATAAGAATTGGGTTGTATGGTAGGTTATTTGATAGAACTGGCTAAATATGTCAAAAAATCAATCAGTTATCACGGAGAACCAACACATAAAACTGACCGACTCCTAATATATGATGAGACCCAATTGATGCCTCTATTGGATAGGGTGATTCTAACCCGGCCTAATAATTTTTAAAGGACCCGGTTTCTATGTGGCCAAGCCCGCATATGTAGAAATACAGGCCTCTTAATAAATCTCTTTTTGAGATGGACTTTTTGACTTAATTTTGAAGGATATATAATCTCTAACATTATGATCATAAATATGAATAAATAAATAAATTTAAAAAACTAAAAATACTAATTCTAGTAAAAAAATATTTGGCCTGTTAGTATCCATTTTGTTTAGATAGAACACTTACTTGCATCCATCTTTAAGATGGATGCTTTACACTTTTTGGATCGTATATGTAGTCATGAGGTCCAACCCGCATGAAACAATTGTCCATTTTTAAAACCTCGATTTAAACCATGTGTCCTTTTGTAAAGTGCATAAGAGAGGTGGCTTGGACCTTGGGCATTTAGTAAAAATTGTAAGACAAATGTGTATGAATTTGATACGAGCGAGAGGGATACGCAAAATGTGTCGCGTGTGTGTGAGAGAGGGGGAGAGGGAAAGCATTTTAAAATTTACAACCCTTTAAATAAGGGATGAAGTTTTTTACAGGACGTAAGTTATACGAAAACCAAATAAAGCCTCACTTCAAATCTCGTTGATAAAGCATTTTTAGCCCCAAAAATCTCCATGACTCTAAAATTAATTTCAACGCTGACAATAAATTTTGAAACTAAAAAAATCGTATAAAATTTGTGTATCTTTGAACACTTATTTTTAGGCGAAATGGAAGGTCTAGATAATTTATTAATATATACATTAATTTTAGAGTTTGAAATCTTAATTTCTTTCCCAGCCATTACATTCAAGTTGAGATAATGGATGTAAAGATTTTCCTATATTTCAATTATAAATTTTTGATGATTTATTAAAGGGTGCCGTTTGCATACGGACGCATCTATAGGTATGGAGGTAAGGTGCACCTTCAAATTTTATCATGGTATATAATTTTGAAGTAAAATGTTCTTAGGATTATGTCAAAATCTAATTTTATATCTAATGATAAAATTTTAAATTTTAAAAAATCAAGTAGATCTATAAACATATGAAAATCTTGAAAATGGGCGGTGCAGATAATATGTTGTAAAATGCACTATTTTTAAGACTTAAAATCTTTTTATTTTTCATAGTCATACATCTCGATGTCGAGATGATCAATCAAAGGGTTTTTCAACATTAAAACTACATTTTCCGATGGATTTTTTAGAGGTATATATAGTTCTACATTATAAGTTAGCATCTTTATATAAACTTTTTCCTTTATTAAGTGAGGTTTTACTTATTTTGATAAGACTACAGTTATATCTATGTATTTTTTTAAAATAAATCAATTATATTGATAAGTCCATATATTATTAGTAATATATTCAAATAATATTTTGAAATTGTAAGTAAGGAGATTATTTATATTTGGTATAAGATGGTTACAATTATTTACAACCATCCGATGTAAAGTTTAATCGTTTAGATGTGTTAAAAAATATCAAAGTTGATTTTAATCAATGAATAATTACGGCCACCCAATTCCACATCCAATGGTCAAAATTAACGTCTCACCGCGTACCAAAGGTAAATAAATGTTTTCATTATATGCTTTCCCTAAATTTTTCATGGTGAGGTGGACTTCCCATCGAACCAGTGGAGAGAGGAGGAGGCATGCCAACTAAAGGACTCGTCTCTTAAAAAAAAAAAAGACGGCTTAGAGAGAGAAAGAGGAGTGACAGAGGTCGCAAGAAACAGCTCCCCCCTCCAACCCCCAGCTCTCTCCTCCTTCCTTGAAGCAAATTCCTCCGCCTACTCTCTTTCTCTCTCCTCTCTCCTCTCTCCTCTCTCTCTCTCTCTCTCCTGAAAACCCTCATTTCTTATTCCAAGATTGACCAAAACCCAAGTAAACTCCCTCTCTTCCAACCACTGCATCTGTGACATCTTAACACCCCCCTTCTCTCTCTCTCTTCCCTTGTTTTTCTTTCTCTCTCTTCCCCTTTTCCTTTCTATAATAAATCCTCTATCTACTTTAAATCCTTAGCCCCATACCCATTTCCTTGAACCCTCTCTCTC